TAAAATACTGACAACATTTCCTCTAGTGGACATGATTTAAACAGTGAATTGATACAAGTACAAAAATTAGGTCAGGGTTTCTTGTGTGGGTGGGTGGTAGGGTTCATAGTATTTACATTGTTAGGCAATTCTGAATTCCAATCAATTAAACTGGACATAAATTTTTTGATGTTTTTTTCAATAAGCTTTCCCCTTGTCAGCGGGCCTGAAAAGGAACAGTCGCTAGTCATTCAGATGGAATGAAAATTGAGAGTGTGCCATACAATGTACTGTGAAGGAAATTCTTCCCGGGCAGCGGGACTATGGCCTACTCTTATATCAAATTCCAACTGCCAAGGGATCTTTTACGTGCATGCCAGTATATACACGGGACCTTGGTTTTTCGTTCTTGTCAGCCCCTCCGTTCTGCACCGCTGACAAGGGAAAACCACATCGGAAAAACTTGATGAACTTTCTCTGCCAATGCAGGGATTGAACACCCAACCTCCAGGCTACTGAGCCAGCGTCTTACCCACCTATTCACTGTTGCTCCCCCCTTGAATTTGAAGCGGAAAAGCAGCTAAATTTCCCTCATACGTATAGCATACTGTATATGTCAGTATTCATTATTCCAGTTGGTGCAAAAAATAAGGATGTGAATTGTAAACCCCATTTCATTTTATTTCACACATAACAGTTTAAAAATGTTATCAATGTTGTGTAAATCAATAAAATATTTATAGTTACTAGGGGTGTACTATTTGTAGTGGCCAATATCTGGTACATAAAATTTAGGCCAGTGTAAAATTGAAATGTGAATTAGAAAGTGGTGATTCATGTAAACTTCTGTTCAAAATATATTACAAGTTTCTGTGTATATTTTAACATTTTTGGCACACAAATAGGTCAGTGTAACAAACAAATGTTTTCATTCATTCTTCTGGGAAGTAGCCATAACTGGTAAAATGTTAGGTTCAGTTAGCAATCAAATATGCAAATTTTTCTTCTTTCAATGAAATGAAATATACCGAGCTAATGAAAATGGGCATACATCATACAAGGTGCTATGAGGGAAATGGCACACAGCCTATTCTTATTATGAATTCTAACTATAATGGTTTCTTTTACGTCCCCGCAGAGTCCCCGGTTATCATTCTATCCGAATGACTAGACACTGTACTTGTCAACCCTCCCTCCTGCACCATTTACAAGGGGAAACCATGCAGGAAATTCTGAGGAACTTTCTCTGCCAACACAGGGAGCGAACCCCAGACTTACTGGTTAGCGAGCCGGTGCTTTACTCACTGAGCCAGTGTGGCTCCTTCTTCTTTCACATGTAGATCAGTAAGTGATTTTTTAAATTTCACGCTTCAAAGAATATAAATGACCTAAAAGTCACTAAAATGCACTGTTACAAAAAAAAAACCCGCCTTTTTTACCCGGAGTACCACTTTTTATGATTTTAGTAAAAATTAATTGATATTTAATTTATAATCAGTATTTTTTTGCAATTTGTGTAATCAAATAGGCCAACATAAAAAATATGAATAATATAGGCCTACAAAACTAAGAGATTTTTAACCAAAGTAAATGATCAATACAATTTCAAATCAATAATTTTGTGCAGCTTTTATATACAAATAGGCCAGCGCAAAACATATAAATAATATTTGCCTACATGCACTGTTACGAAACTAATAAATTATTTAACCTGAGAAAAAACATTTACCAGTAAGAGTTTTAACAAAAGTTAATAAATATAATTTTAATCAATATGTTTGTGCAGGTGTATAGACGAATAGGCCATCACACAAAATGAAAATAATATAGGCCTACATACATAAGAGGTTCTTTATACTGAAAGTACCAGTACAAATTTTAACAAAAAGTAATAATATATTTTCAATCAATAGAAGAAGAATATGTGCAATTTGTATAATAAACTGTTGAAGATCTATTTGTTTTGTGATATATTAAATAGGTCAGAGTATATCTAGTTGGTATATCTTATATTGCCTGGTCAGTATACAAGAGGTAGAGTGGTAGATATAATAATGTACAACATGAGTTGTACACCACCCTACAACATAAAACTCCTGGCTATTTTCGGCACACAAGCCTGCACTGTAATGGAATGCAGGGCTTTATAGGTCATGGTATAGCTCATTTTCAATCAAGGGGTCAAAGCATATTGAGCCAGTTTCTCAGAATGAGGCCAATAAACTGTAAACTGTTAAAATTTTATTTGGATATTGGGCATTTTCTTTCTGTCATAATATGAAAGAATACTATTTTCATGTGATGGAATATTTATTTATAAGATTATATCAATATTATTATGCACTGACAAAAGGCATAATATAATTAAAAATGATTAATGGAACAGATTGTCTCCCCCAAAACAATTCCTTGGTGAAGTGTCAAAAGGGTGTATCTCCGGAAATTAGTCAAATACACTTTTTTTGCATTTTTAAAACCTCCCAATTTCTGTCTAATGCTATGGACAGACGAGCGTATTTTTCCGCCCAATCGAGGCTATTGAAATTCGCCAGCGATTTTTTTACGGCCGATAACGAACTGGCACAGCCAGCGATCGTCTCAAGAGCGTACGCCACTCTGTGAGTAATTATGTCGATCACATGACTTGTCGATCACGTGACTTGTACAAAATGGCAGCCATTTTGAGATCATGTGATATCAACGATCTCGATGATTGGCTTATAAAAATGAATCGCCCGACAATATACGCTGGACACGGGCACACAAGCGAATTTAATCGCCAGCGAAAAATATTCGGCCGAAAATATCTAACATGCTAGATACGAGCGATTGATTCGCCGAGCAGAATCGTCGTCGCCCTAAAGGGGCACATGGGCGTATTTTTGGAGCGATTTTAAAAATCGCCGCGATCGGGCGAAAAATACGCTCGTCTGTCCCCCACTTAAAGGCGCTAAATCGCTAACATTTAGGACCTAGAAATTGACAAAAGTGGGTCGCAACGCATAAAATACTGTAATATGAATGTATATAAACTGATTTACGTTCAATGGTTTCCATTTTTACTCCAATTTCAAATCAGTTATGTTCGGCGAAATAAGCCAGCAGTCTCAAGCGAGTGCAAATTTCTAGCGTCTGGTTATTCCAGTCTACATACGCCGTTTGATTTGGTGCAATGTGTCTAGCCTCGTCCTTCGAGTCTCTTTATACAACTGGGGCTGAAGCGCATTATGGTACACGATTCGTGTACCAATGGTAAAATGTTTATTTTGTCTTAAATATTGGATATCAAAAGCCCATCTTTTTCCGGTAAGATCACAATATGAATGTTGATTTAATTTGACAAATAAATCGTGTTTTCAATGTTAAAGATTTTGAATGATATTGAGTTAGAGACTTAGCTACTTTAAGCTGTGTATCTCTACGTCTATCAGAACGGTTCTGGGTATCATGTGTCCAAATGTTGTATCTTGATTTGTGGAAATTTTGAAATGCAAAAGGTTCTATTTCTTAATTCTTTAGAAATTCTTAGATACACCCTTTTGACACTTCACCGATGAATGTCTTGTTATTGTCTATAGTGATTTTGGTCCTGTTTGTTTGGATTGATGCATTAATACATCAATGTAAAGAGAGAAATCTAGATGCTTTAATGTCCACTGAAATGAAATGAGAATCCTACACAATGGCGGACTGAGTCTGAAAATATTGCTTGCCAGGAGACAAAGGGGGCCCATCCACCAATACAATTCTATCATTTAATTTTTAAAATGAATAAATTAAATTTTCAAAAAATAAGTAAGTGGAAACAAATAGGCCTAGATGTAATTAGAACTTTCATGCTAATAATTTTTTTCTAATATTTATATATTTTTTGATAATTGTTCAAGTAGACATCAAAATAATACCATTGGCGATATCCAATCAAATGCCTTGATAGTCATACATGCCTACTCTCGTACATGTATCAAATTCCAACTTCCAAGGGATCTTTTATATGCACATTTTTTCTCCCATCCACACGACTAGCAGCTGACCTATACCATTGACAAGGGGAAGCCACGCCTGTACTTTTTTGGTCACCACCGGGAGCGAATCCACGACCTCCAGGCTAGCGAGCCAGGGTCTTACTCATTTTCATATACGCACTGTGGCTCCATCCAATCCAAACAATAATGAATGAATGCATGAATGGATGAAAGACTGGGCTGAGGAGAGAGAAAAACTAAGGTTTAATGTCCACATGAAATAACCATTTGTTTTTGAGGATTAAAACATGGTATATTTTCTTCTTCTGTCAATAGTTCGCTTTAGAAGTGAGGAGAAACGTTGAAAAAAACCAGTAGAATATCACCTAAGGAAACATACGTGCAAATTGCTTCAAATTCTAGTAATTGGACTAGAAGCAGGGAACAAGTTTAAGGAATACAATTTCTGCTTATTAATGAGTGACTTTTCAATGAGAGAGAGAGAGAGAGAGAGATGGGGTTTAACGTCCACTCGACACAAACTAGGTCATTTCAGGACTAACATATGGTTTAATTTTATTTCAATAATTCGCTTGCGCGTAGGGGTCTATAGCAGTGGGAGGAAACCGGAGGACCCAAAGAAAACCCACGAGGTTGGACAGGCGACCCTACTCCTTGTCACATACAACCGGGGATTCGAAACCACGCCAGTTGACTCAATGACAGGCTTTATGATACAGCGCGCACGTGCTAACCATTCGGTCTTCCAATCCCCCCTTTTCAATGAGGCTTTACTGGTTTTTGGACCAGGAGCTGGGTAACAAGTGCTCCACCAATTCAAGTACAATCGTCATGAAAATTGTCATGCTTGTTCCTTGAACAATTGTTCATCTATTAACAGGCTTTGATGCATCATTGTTCCAAGATGGCTGTGATGACCTCATACTTTGTGTTCTATGTATGGCTTTTATTGTCGTTTTGTTTTATTTTTTTCAATTTTTGTCTTTACCAATATCTGAGCACTTTCTTATAATTGTTTTATTTTGTATTTTTCAGGCTGGTACATACAGTAAAAACTGGCCAGTTCGACGGCACAACGCCATCTATCTCAGGAAACAAGACACCTTTTAAATCTATTTCAACATGAGTGGACCAAACAAGAGTTACCTCCCCTCACAGCGCATGATGCCCAGTTTCACTACAGTCTCTCCAAAGAGTGATGACGGAAAAACAAGTGAATATAATTACGATCTCGCTGAGAGTTCAAAAGCTACCTCCCCCGCACTATCATCGCCGTATTCCAGGATTCAGGAAAGTCCAAAGACAGTCGCAGAGTTGGCATATTCTAGAATGCAGGAATTTCCGTACGGCATAAGTGGGGTTCCCATGCCCTCATATAACTATAATAGTGAACTATATAATTATGTATCAAACGGGTTTCCACGTAAATCCCGTATGTGTAGTTACTGCGGTAAAGTATTCACTAGATCTACAACACGACGTTATCATGAGAAACGCTGCCCTCTATTACGCGCTGCAGGCAGTCTGTTAAATAATACTGCTACTACTGAAGACCAACGCAAAAACGAAGTCAAAACTTTTTCATCAAATACCTCATTTCCAGTGGTGTCGGTGGCCCCACAGACCTCCTATTATGGGGCTTTTCCTTCGTCTCTCTACTCTACCTCAGCTGGCTTGGACCAAAATCGTAATCATGCTTTAACTGGCATGAAGATAGAACCTCAGGAACGTAAGGACAGAACAGACGGCAGGGATATACGGGACCACAATTTGGATCGACCCTCGAGTCGCTTGATGTCAGACATGGAGAATGTCGCGAGACCAATGTTCTCCCCGGCCAACATCCCTTCACCAGAATCGTTGGCCTCTAGGGGTCGAAGTTCACCATCACCAGTAGGCGATGAAGGTGATTCTCAGGTTGACGGGGAAACGTTGAAAACCTCCGCGGACCATATAATAAATACCTCAAAAGACGTGTTTCACGCAAAGTATGAACAGATGTCGGGATTACAGGCCGTACGTTCTGCCTCATACAGTCACTCAGGGACGATATATGCTGCCGGCACAGAAAAAGATGGCTCTCCACATGACGGCATATTAACAGACACGGGTCAGGACCAATTTCCAACCAATCGAGAGCTAGGAGAGCGCAAGAGGAAAACGGAAATGAGAGAGTCAGTTGTGGGAAATGGGGATGATGACGAGTTCTCAGGGATAACTCAGGGTTATAAAGAAGACAATGAATTAGGGGAGATAACTCCCAAGAAAAATATATCAGACAAACAGTGTGGATTGTGTGGTCAACTATTTGACAACATTGAAGAATTAGAAGCTCATGAACAGCTCCATACTAATTATAAACCTTATGCTTGTCGATTCTGTGGGGAGCGCTTCGCAAAGGTCTCCATGAGAATCACCCATGAGCGAGTTCATATTGGAGAGAAGCCCTATGTCTGTGCTATCTGTGGACTGACCTTCACTAGGAAGTACAGCGTACGTATTCACATGAGACGTAAACATGTGGACGGAGCATGTTTATGTCGCTATTGCGGTAAAACCTTGTTCGATCTACAGAGTTTGAAAGACCATCTACTTAGTCACGATCTACCGAAAGCAGAAAAAGATTCTCTTAACTACCTCAACACAAATCCTGGAGAGAAAAACGATGACGACCTCGACTCCAACGAAGGCTCCATGTCCTCAGACAACAATGACGAAGAAACAAATGGAGTCACAGATGCCCCAATTCTCGAAGCAGAAGCTACCTCAAAGTCCAAAGATAAAGAATGGTGTCGTTTATGTGAAAAGGACATCCCAAAATCTTTCCTTCGATACCATGAGCGCATGCACGCTGATCAGAAACCATTTGAATGCCCTCTGTGCAAGAAACGGTTTGGCTACAAAAACAATATGAAGTCACATATGAAGCTCCATGCTGGAATAAAACCATACCAATGTCACATCTGCGGAGCTAAATTTACTCGAGGTTCAACTCTACGCCGACATGCGAGAAGACATGGTATTGTTACCGACAGTGTTTGGGATTTTTTCACCCAGAAACAAGGAAAATCAGCTGGATCTTTAGACCAATCACCATCAGCAGGCCGACCAAAAGTTGGTGGGGCATCTCCGGACGTCTCCAGCACGCGACCTGGTGGATCAGAATCCTCTATCATGCTACCTGACAGTTCCCATAACTATGACCTAGCCTCTATGGCTGCTGCCTCTAATGCTGCTAACGCTCTCTACGCAAGTTATGGCTCTCTACCTCATGGTTTATACCCGCCCTACTCAACTACCTCGCTACTGCAGTACGCCGGCTACAATACGACCACACCACTCGTACAGTCGGACGCCCTGAATCTAACTGTACACAGCCCTCATCTTACCTCAAAAATCAAACTATTGGCCAATCAGATGGAAGATAACAATATTCAAAAAGCTGATGCTGAATCGGACGAAATCAGTCGTAAATCGGACAGTCCTTCAGACGTGAAACCAGGTTGTCGCAATATGGGAGTTCAGGTCAAGTCTTGCTGTCAGGCCGATGCTAAAGGTCTGCTTGATGCCTCGTATGATCTAAGGATGCTGAGTCCATCAAGCTTCGAGAGTAGTGGCTCGGTGGCTACTAGTCCGTCGCTGTCGTCCGGAACAGAGACTTTGATGAATGAAACGTTATCCAGTCTTTTGTCCTCCGGCAAGATGTTCCGCTGTAGTCATTGCTGTAGTTTCTTTGCAGAGTATGCGATGTATCGTATCCATCAGAAGTTACACGCTAAGGACGCTGCTCACCCGTTCATGTGTCCTCAGTGTGGAGAAGATTGCCAAGACCGAATGTATTTCTCTCTTCATCTAGCTGAACATTTAAAGTAACGAATCAGATATTTTTACTGGTATGGTTGTAACTGTCGTTGTTCTCTTAATCTTTATTGTTAGAAGGGAGGTAACCCTGTGATAGATGGTGACACCTGCAAGGAGGATGCAGTGTATTATCTAATAAACCAAATTTACAAAGTCACATTGTCAATTTATCACAAGATGTGATTTTTGTGAAATAAAGCTTAATTTCCTTTGTATGTCTTGCCATCTATTCAGGACTTATGCCCTTTAACAATCAGAAGAATCAGGTATTTTTGATGTCTTTAAGTAAAAGTGTTTAAATGAGAATCCGGGTATCTTTGAATAATATAAATCTATGATTACTTTTACTGTATGCACTTTACACCCACACTTAGATTGTCATGGGATTATTTACAGATACACTAGACCAACGCTGGGTGACTCAAGACCAATACTTGGTGACTCTAGAGCAGCACAGAGTGATTCTAGAACAACATGTACACACTTACACTTAGACTGTCATGGTGTATGTGCATGTATGATGGTAGCATATAAGCAAAGGCTATTAAAACCTGGTTATACAAAGGACCAACACTGAGTGACTCAATTGTGGGGCTATGTGGTTCAAGAGTGACACTGAGTGATTCTAGAGCAACAAATAATATCTGCAGAACAGTATTTATCATGCGCTAGTGAAAACTGAGTTGCTACAATGTTAAAATTTTAGACTATAGTGTGTGACTCTTGTTCTAATTTATAACTCTAGAATTCAACTGTTGTTTCTTTGGAGTATCGCTTTTGTTGCTATAGAGTATAACTTAGGTTGCTCTAGAGTGTAATTATGCTACTGTACAGTGTAACTTATGCTGCTTGTGTTGCTCTAGAGTGTAACCGGTGTTGCTCTAGATTATAGCTGGTGTTGCTTTAGGGTGTAACTTGTATTGCTCTAGAGTATAGCTGGTGATGCTTTAGGGTGTAACTTGTGTTGCTCTAGAGTGTAGCTCTTGTTAATTGTTAAGTGATTTTATGTGTTTCTGTATTTTTTAGTCATGTTAAATCGGGTCAACATAAGAAATATGCATATGGTCGTCTTGGTGATAATATATGAAAAAGGAGATGCGTTGATTGGTTACGTTGTTTTTTTAGAGTATATTATATATATATAGTTTTATTAGTAACGTTGACGGACACTTTTTACCCACAGTTATATTGTGTATGTATGTATATAAGCTAATGACATGTTAATGTGGTTGCTTGTTTTGATTCACTCCAGAGTCCACTATCACTCAAATATTATTAATATTGTTATTATAACCGATATTTCTTGAAATTGATTTTTATTTTAAATGTTTAAATAATTTTGTTTTTGATAGCTAAAACTTTTTAACAACGTATATAGATAGCTTCCCATAGATTGGCTCAAAAGAAAATCTTTATTATGAAATGGATAATTGAAATGAAAAGCTTTCAAATGATTACAGTTTCCCTTTAAATTTTGTGTTTGTTTGCTGTAAACATATATATATATAGTATGGTATATTTTTGTTTGTTTTAAAAGATGTAAATATTTAATAATTCAATTGTTTGTTAAACAATCAACGATTGGATATTACACACTATGGTTACCTCAGCATTTAGTCAACTGCACATTGATTGGTTGCCTTGTCAGTTGCCACTGAGAATCTGAACATGTTGCCTTGGAGAATCTAAACTTGTTTTGAATGTATTTGAATTGAAACTGTTGCATTTTCAATCTGTAATAAGAATGTGTTATGAAACATGGTTGCTATGGCTGAAGGGAGGTAACTCTGTTTTAAAATAATCTTGACATCTAACCAAGTTGAACCAGTCAATGTGTAATTGAGTTTTGCCCAAAAGATGGATCAAGTTACTCAAGACTAAATTTAATAAATTTTCCATGAACTTGAAAGAAAAAATTGGACTATTTTCAAAAATCAATAAGAAAGTAGCTTCAGAGAAACCCAATAAAAAAATCAAATTTGGGTCAAATAAATTGCTTAACTATTCCTTTTTGCTTTTGATATTTTAGGAATTTGTTCAAATGTATTTGTTCTATGAAGGCTTGAGTAAAATTTTCCACTTTTACTTTTATTATGAAACTTTATGTCAAATATTATCTTCTTATGTACCGGTAACCTTAGTAACAGAATCTATTTATATAACATGTCTGCATTTTTGATCATTTCTTGCTCAAAGCCAATGCTTTGATAATGGAAAATTTGTTAGAGATGAGAAAATGCATCAAATGTCTGCATTGAATTGAACATGATTATTCTTTCAGAAAGTATCAAATTTTATGCGGCTAAAAGGGCGGATCCAGGAAATTTTGCAGGTTTGGTAGCTGAGACAATGTATGGTCTCTATCATCATTTTGGTGTTTATACATATACACACTGAGCTTTTTAAAGAGAGGAATCCAACACCCAGTTAGATATCAATTTATATTATGAATTAATACGATGATAAATGATAAAGCACACGACCGTAAAAAGTGTTGTTTTACAATTTTTTATGTAGCTCGGAGCTACCAAAACCTCCAATCTGGATCTACCCGTGGGCTAAAGGATTATTTATCATTCAATTGAAAATGTCAACGGTACATAATCTCCAAGCTTGAATTCATTCAGATGAAAAAGAGGCTCATTAAAAAATTTCAGCAAAATTCATAGGCGACACTGACTTGTGTGAACTATATTCTATATTTTGCCTGAAGTGGATGCAAAATGTTAAGAAATTTTCATATCTTTGTAAAGTTTTCGAGGTACCGGTATTCAAAATCTCACAAATAAGATCAGAAACTTTTAAACAATTCAAATTTCGAAATGAGAAATAGGCTGTTATATTTCGTTTTGGGTATTGTTATCACCAAGGAATTGGAAGAAAATATTTGACATAAAGTTATGTTGTTGTAAATTTGGAGATATGATCTCATATTACAAAGCGGGTCAAGGTCGTTTCTACCATATTTACAATCATGTTATTCATCCTTTTATTTGTTCTTTCTATCTTTCATGTTATCCCTTCATCTCTCTGTCTATCTCTATATATTAACCTCACCAGTATCAGATTTGCGTTTCTGTGCCTTATATAGGGATTAATTTGATTGCGGATGTGCGTTGTATTTCATATTGTATATGTTGAGTGTGATGTTAAATGGGGGGGGAAATGCTGCAATATGTCCGCTTTCCAGAATTTATCTCATAATTTAATGTTTTCAGTCATTCTACTTGCAAAAAGATTAGAAATATAGAAGAAATCGCTCCATAAAAAATTTATTTTCTGAATATGACTAGAATATTAGGAGAGTTTATTGTTAACCTGTATGGGGAGGTCATTTGCATATGGAAAATTCATCTATCATTAACTCTGTACTAAAAAATGCCCAGTTAAACTCTATTTCCGACATCCCAAACTGGGTTAACAATAAAGTCTTTCTGTTAGACTACAACCATATAACAACATTATTACACAAGATAGGATTGGTCTATTCCTATTAAATCTAAATGGAGGCTACATAAAATTATATATTCAGGTCAGAGGTTATAATAACCAGCCAATCAGGGAGAGGTTTACATGTGGTCACCATCTTTAATTGTGTTTTTTCACATAACATATTATTCTGAATATATCAGATTGTTTTTTTTAATATATTGCATTTTCCCTGTCAGTCACATAATCACAGAGCTCTGATTGGTTGCTTACTTCGATTTATGCTGTATTCTGATTAGTTGATTTTTAAATGTTGTAAAAAGTTTAAAAATTTTATATAATTAGAGAAAAATAAAATATAAAATTGAACATTATTTTTATTGAATTTCAAATAATAGTTTTAAAAAAAAAAAAAAAATCTAATGTGTCGGTGGGATATATAACACGAAGAAACCAATCAGAAACTCTGTTACATTGTCTCATGCATATTTGTGCTATGTAAAAATATATATATTATTTTAATTCATCTTTATAATTAGTTATTTTCAATCGTTCATTTTAACATAATAACTAAAAGTAATGGAAAATTTATATTCAAGTGAGACATACATATTATTAGAATTTTAAAATATTTAAGAATTTTATTTTTGTAGTTCTGTGGAAATTTTTTTTTTTCTGTTTTGTTTTCGTCTTGTAGTTTTTAACTTTTTGTTTTTAATTAAAAAAATTATATTTACACGATTAATAAATCCAAATTTGTTATCAATAAAATAGAACTCTTGTTGTTTCAAATTGTTTTAATATGTTAAAAAATTAGTTGACAAAAAGTTTAAATTGATTAGGGGTGTGTTTGATTGTGGTGAATCCGGATTCATTCTTTACTGGTAATTTTATTTCTGGTTATATTGGAAATCCATTTCTTAATTTGGGTGCCTTATCGGCAAGTATCAACCACTGCATACCTTGTGCACATGAAATTCGAAGCATGTGGTTATTGGAGGTTAAGATTACCTCAATATTATCAAACCCTAATGACTTTACAGAAAGTTGATACAGGGAATAGCCACCTACATCAATAGTTGCTATGGTAGATATAGTATAGAGGTTTGTAAGAATATATATTCTATGAAGCTGAACTCAAAGGCGAGATATACTAAAACTGTAAAGCACATATTATTGAATATAAATAAACTAATCCACATTTGAATACTGACCAATCAAATGCAACCTTGTATCCAGATGCTAACTCATCCATTAAAACCATACATTCAGATACTGACAAATCAAATGCAACCTTAGATCTGGATACTGACCAATCAAACACACCCTTAGATTTGTTTTAAAAACTATTAAACACGTTGTTAATTGATGTTGATTCATTTAGAAAATTTACATTTTAATAAGAAAAAAATCTAAAGTAAATGAATGTGAAAATTTTAAAATTTATATAATTGTTAAATTGTTTGTAAAAATTTTGATTTAGAAAACCTGTTATTTCACTTCTGCAAGGGGAAAAAGGACTGATGACATAAATCGATGTTGATTCAGGGAGAAATTAGGGAGCTATATAAAGTTACTTTTTAGTAGATTATTATTAGTATGTTATGTAAGACTTATATTAGCTCTTAAGGCTAATATTGTTCTTTAAAGGCCTATATTGTTCCCTGAAGACTTATATTGTTCTCTGAAGGTTTATATTGTTCTTTTAAGGCTTATATTGTTCACTTTAGACTAATATTATTTATAAGAATTAAAGATCTTTGATTTGGGTTCAAATATAGTATCAAATTAAAACTCTTTGATTTATGTAAAAATAAAGTATTGAAATGTTATTTTCATTAGTGATGGGGCAAGACACAGATCCTATTTCATTTCGTTTTTTTATAGTTCAAAGTTTCGTTTTATTTGTCTGTACTACACTAGGATCTGGAAGAGTTGTTATATAACATGCGTTCTGGATGGCGTGCGGTATTAGCCAATGAAACTATCTGTTACAGCGACTTCTTGGCGTGCCATGCACGGAACTGTGGGTAAACCACTAGAAACGTCAACGCTGATTGATTAATCAATGCCTAACGTCATAGGGTCAAAAGCCACTTGTATGATCCCTGACGCGACCATTCAGTAAAACTGGTCAGATCTTCATGTAGTGTCAGCCATTGAAAGTATAAAAAACGAAATATAGATCTGTATTTTAATCAGATTGGGGGCAAGATTGATACAGTTAAATATGAAAAATAACTAGACACCCATTTCATAAAACAAATCAGATTTAATTTAATCGACAAGGTTCTTTCTTTTTACTAAAATCAAAGAGGTCCAACCATTGTTTTTTTTATATCTTGAAAGTGATGAATATAGATAACATTAGTAATTCACTGTATAACTGTTATCACCATGATATACAAATATATATACACATTATTAGTTACCACTTGCATTTTCGTTATATGAGTATGGCTATGATATTAATGCGAAGTCTGCTTGATGTCTTGAATATCCAAGAGTTTTCAAAAGCTTTATTTCCAACTGAGAATTATCGACAATTGTATTAAGGGCATATTTGCCCACAGTTAAAAGAACCCAACCATCAATTCCAAATGATTCAATATTCTGATTTGAAATTTCAGACAAAGTAAAGAGACTATATATCAACACAGTTTGTAGAATGAACGCATTTTTATCAATATGTAGGCTTACTCTATGAAAATCTGTGACTTTTCCTGGAATTAAAAATGCACAAAACAAAATGTCTGATATTGAAAATTCAAATAATTATTTTTGTAACGGTAGCTAGGCAGTAAATAAAAAATAATTAATTTTTTAATTTTTTTCTTAAAATAAGTGTTCTTTGTTAGATTTTAATAATGTTATTCATTGCTTATATCACTCTACCTCTTGATGTCGTAGATGTGGTTTGTAAATTTCTTAAATTTAAGTAAATTTGTCAAAATGTTAAAGGCCCATTATTCCAAAAAAAGACAATAAAAGGTAAGCTTGCCAAACTTTGACTTATTTAAAATGCCTTTTAGTTTGTGAAAAAATATATATAATTTTATTAGATTGTAGATAGAAAGAAACATTCCTGTGTCGAATCAGTGCTAGATAAATTTCTTTTATTTGTAGTTCTGGGATTCTGTAGAAAGCCATTTAACTTTGTGCTTATAAGTGTTTAAAGGTCCCTAGTCGAGGCCTGTTATTTTTTTTTTTTTAATTAAAGCCACTGATTGTTATTTGTAGTTTTTAGACAGTATCTAATTTTTCACCTCAAAATTCAGCTTAAGATATACTCAGATTGATTATCTAGCATTTAATTAAGAAAAAATCAGAATGTCAACAGTATATCCGCTGTGATTCAATCGGATTAAGAAGAGGTTTATAAAAAGATGATAACCTAACACATGACGCTGGCTTCTTTCCTACTTGAGATTCATCTTGTAGTTTGCAATGGATTCAAAATTCCACAAATGACAGTCAGTGGCTTTGAGTTATAAAATTTCATTAAAATTTTTACTTGTCTCTTGTTAACAAAACCATGTTGGGAAAGGTGAAATATTGTTTGTGGTCTTGCTTGTGTTTTGAGTTTAACGGCTTTATTCTTTTCTGGGCAATGTTGGGGTTCATCCAGACACCTTACAAATAAACAAAGGGTCAGATGAATTCTAGTTATTATAACTAATATTTTATTGGGTGATACATTAACAATAGTGCTAACATAATTACTTACTTATTCACAGTAATGTTGAGATATATTTGACGTATTCACAGTGATGTTGAGATATATTTGATTTATTCACACTGATGTTGAGATATATTTGAAATAAATATGTAGTGATAGCTGAGATATATTAGATTTTTAGAATTGATATGGAGATACAGTTGATTGTTGAGGTTTCATTTAAAGATGCAGTTATGTGTACTTTGGAGATAAATCAAATATTGAGATGCAGATGCTTTGGAGATACATTAATTGGTGAGGTTTCATTTGGAGATGCATTAATTATCGAGGTTTCATTTGGAGATACATTACATGTAATTATTGTGGTTTCATTTGGAAATAAATTAATTATTTGAAAATTGATTTGGAGATACATTAAATGGTGAGGTTTCATTTGGAGATGCATTAATTATCGAGGTTTCATTTGGAGATGCATTACATGCAATTATTGTGGTTTCATTTGGAAATAAATTAATTATTGAAAATTGATTTGGAGATACATTTAATGGTGAGGTATCATTTGGAGATGCATTAATTTACCAAGATTTCATTTAGAGATACATTACAGGTAATTATTGTGGTTTCATTTGGAAATACATTAATTGTTGAGAATTGATTTAGAGATACATTTTGGTGATGTTCATTTGGAGATACATTAATTGTTGAAATGTCATTTGGAGAGGCAGTATATTTGAAGATGCATGAGGCATTAGTGTTTAGTTATATTAATGTAGATCATAAAACCTAGTTAAGATTGTCGCACAAACTGTTTTTAAATGGAAACAAAACTGTAAAAGAAACTGATTTATCTGTATTTCATTTGATTTATTTATTAGTGTTGAAAGTTTATCACTTGAACTTCTGTAGTTATGCACCTTAAAACTTCAGTTCAGAAAGCTGAAAGTAGAGAATATTTAATGGACTAAAAGACCAATGTATAGTTGAAGGAATGTGTATTAATTATTGAAGGTAACAACGATGAATTTATGATTAAAACTCCAGTTCAGATATCATGGGAAACTGAGATACGTTCACGCTGAAAGTATAGAATATTTGATGAAAAAAAGACAAAATTAATTTACTGCCATTGTATATCTGAAGGAATATGTATTAATTGTTGATTGCCTCATTATTTGTGTTAATTAACCCCGAAGAAAGTATATAACTGTGATATAACTTGTATACGCTACCTCTTGATTAAGTGATGATTATCTTAGCCTTAGATATGGTTATGTAGCCTTGAGTTATGTAGCCGTATCTTATGTTATCCTGTGTTATATACCCTTGTGTTATTTCGCCATGTGTTATTTAGCCCTGTGTTTCACAGTGATGTATTATGTAGTCATGTGTTACAATGGCCATGTGTTTTTTTAGATATGTGTTACATAGCCATGTATTATGTAGCCATGTGGTATTTAGATCTGTGTTTCACAGCCATGTGTCATGTAGCCATGTGTTATGTAGTCATGTGTTACTTAACCTTGTGTTATTTAACCTTGTGTTATGTAATCATGTGTTACAAAACCCAAATTAAAATTCTAAAATTGTTATTGTTACTCACTGTTCTGTCTAAGGCTTCTTCTTTAACCCAGTGCATATTTTAACATAAATTACAATAATTTAATCTTAATTTACATAAATTTACATAAACTTGCTGAAGCTTTCTTACCTCAGTTTTGTTTTTTTTTCCCAAAAAAAACAAAAGAAAACACACTTTGCTCTAAACAATAAATGTTTTATTTTATAACGGTATATCTAATTAGACTACCTCCATTGACATGCATATATAGATATATATATATATATATGTCTAATTCAACTTACATCAATTCATTTTGAAGTAAAACTGACTGTTATTTAGTTTGTAATACCTCAAAAA